GAGTTGAGCTGAAAGCAGTTCACCACATGGATGGCACTGAAGTGTACACTTACACTGACTGGAATGGTAAATTGTGTGGAGTTTACTTTATCACAATTAAAAAAGTAATTTGTTTTAACTTCTGGGAAGCCTCCTTTCCCACCTCCCATCTCCTGGAGGAGTGTGGCGATTACAGACTCTTGTGCTATGCATCTGGCTTTCACATGGGTTCTGGGGAATTGAACGCAAGTCCCCATGCTTGCATAGCAAATGCTTTTCTTTTCTTTCTTTTTTTTTTTGTTTTTGTTTTTGTTTTGAGACAGGGTCTCCCTATAGCCCCAGCTGTCCTGGAACTCACTTTGTAGACCAGGCTGGCCTCGAACTCACAGAGATCTGCCTGCAAATGCTTTTTATCCAACCCTTTTTGGAGAATGAAGTTTTTACAACAACAAATTAAAATGTGTGCCAGGTGTGAGGGTGCATGCCTGTAATCCCACACCCAGGAGGCCTAGACAGAAAGATTGACACAAATTTCAGGCCAGCCTGGATGATCTGTAGTGAGTTTGAGACTAGCTTGGGATTACTGCTAATGAGACACTGTCTCGAAAAACCCAGAAAAGATCTGGAGCAGTGGCTCAGTAGGTAAAGTGCTTGCTGCACAAGCCTGAGGACCACTCCTTGGATTTCCAGTGCCCAAGTGAAAGCTGGGTGTGGCAGTGAACACCTGTAATCCCAGAACTGGCGAGGCAGAGACAGGAAGATCCTGAGGATTTGCTGGTCAGCCAGTCTAGCTGAAATGGTGAGCTCCAGGTTCCATGACAGACCTAGTCTCAAAAAATAGAGAGCAATACAGGAAGAAAGCCAGAGTCCATCTCTAGCTTCCACACAAGCATGCACAGGTGAGCGTACCACATACACATGTTCATGCACATACGAAGTACACACACCCCACACCCCACATTCCTCTTGTTTCTTCAACACATATTTTCAAGGGGAGGTTGAGTTAGATGACCTGTCAGGATTCATATATGTGGAGGATGAATGTTAAGAGAAGCTAACCCTGCCCTCCAGACACTGATGGACAAGGCTTTTGGAAGGCAGTCCTCTGGCCTGGCCAGGTGAAGGAGGGGATAGTGGCATGGGTCCTGGCAGGCGGATTCATTTACCAGGCTGAGTCAAAGGCAAAGGAGGATGCAGTCACTGAAGGCGTTGCAGAGCTATAGTGCGGGGCTGAAACATGGGGCTGTAGCATGGGGCCGAAGAAGCGTGGCTGCTCCTACAGCCAATCTTTGTTGTTTTTTCTTTTCAATCAAAAATTTCTTGAAGAAGCGTGGCTGCTCCTACAGCCAATCTTTGTTGTTTTTTCTTTTCAATCAAAAATTTTGTGTGTGTGTGTGTGTGTGTGTGTGTGTGTGTGTGTGTGTAGACCAGATGTTAATATCAGGTGTCTTCCTGAGTCACCCTTCACTTGATTTTATGAGACATCGTCTGTCACTGAACCTAGGTCACTGATGCCGCTAGACTAGCTAGCTGGCCAGTGAGCTCCAGGGACCCACCTGTCTCTGCCTCTCAGCACTGAGATTTCGGATGTGCACCGCCACTCCCAGCTTTGGCATCAGTACAACAGATCTGAACTCAGGTCCTCAAGCTTGTGTGACAAGCACTTTACTGACTGAGCCATCCCTCTAGCCCCTCATCTTATCCTGTGGAAATCTTCCTATCTTTCTTTACCGCTCTATAAAGAGACTCCAGGTTGGCTAGCCAGGTGAGGTGGCCCACACCTGTAATACCGGCACTCAGGGGATGGAGACTGGAAGATCAGGAGTTAAAGGTCATTGCTACATAAGGGGTTTGAGGCCAGCCTGGGCTATAGATGGTGTCTCAAAAAGCCTAGGGGGTTGGGAGAGGTGCTGGAGAAGAAGAAAAGGAGTTGGGGGAGAGGGAGGGAAGGGGAGTAAACAACCCGACCCTGTCTTGGTTGCCATCTTCTGTGGACATTGTGGCAACGTGCTGGCTGGAGTGAGAGTCCATCTAAGCCTGTGAGACCAAGACTCTGGGCAGCTGCGGTGTGAAGTTCTGGTGGCAGATATTGCAAATATGTGCGGCCTTTCTAGGTTCTGTCATTTCGTCTTGCATCTTTGTATTCTTTGGTATAGTCTGTACCCGTGAAACTATTGTGCCTCCCTTAGAATTTTCTGTTACCAGACTGTTATAAATTTAGAAACTGGACAAATGATTTTTTTTTCCTTTTTGACAAATAATAATGTATAGATTAAGAGGAAAATGCTAAGGGGGGGGAATCTCGTGATTTTATTTATGGTAATATTTAGCTTACAGTGCTCTTCTTTGCTTTTTATTGTTTCTTTTGAGATAGGGTCTCTTGTAGTCCAGGCTAGCTTCAAATTCCTAACCCTTCTTCTTCCCACTTGGGAAGAATTGCAGTCATGGGCCACCAAGCTTAGTCTAGGGAGGACTTTGTGGCCCACTTTTGATGGTTAAAGTATACAAAGTTCCTGGTTCTCAAATACATAGTCACCAGAAAGCTGATTTACTGAAGGGTGCTGTCATGTTTCCTTTTGAAAATCATGCTGACAAAAGGCTAGAACTTATTAGAAATTGGTTAGGGTAGGATAAAGAGAGAGAGAGAGCTTACTGAAATATGGGAGTGAATCCCATACGAGGGCACTGTGACCTTCACTGTGCCTGATTCCCAAGGCTGAACTGTGTGAACCCGGAGTCATGGCACTGTCCCTTCATTCAGCTCTCTGCCCCGGGCATGGGGCAAGGTTGGCTTGGACAGTTTCACCTGACTCTCATGGGCTCTGTACTCCCAAAGATATCAGATTGGAAGTACAGATGAATACTTCCTTTTAAGATATCAGTCACTTGGTACTTTGGGCTTGTAAATGGAGGGTTTGTCTGAGAGGCATTCTGGTGCCTGAATTTTAGCTCTCTGGTTCAAAATGCAGCAGCTTAGCCAGAGGACTGCCAGGGGTCTCTGTCATGAGCATCTCACTGTCATGAAATTAGTCCCAAGATCTGCTCTTTCGACTGTATTTTACATCAACTCAGGTCATTGCTGCCCTCTAGAAATGGATTCAACCCTGTGGAAAACCAAAGGTAATAAAATGCTGGACTCTAAATGCAGGTTTGAGGCTGATATTCAGTTCTGAAGCATGGTGACCTTGATACAGTAGGAAGATAGTAGAGATCTGATGTCTCTCTGAGCAGGAGCTGGGGCAGTGCCCTACTTCTATAAGGTGCCTGCTTGCCAAGAGAATGGAGGTAGGACAGGAGTGGGCAGCACCTGATCTCCACCATCTGACCAGATAGAAGTAGTCTTTTTTATTAAACTTGGAATTCTCTTTTCTCGTGACTGTTTTCCTCATTCTCTGTACCCAGCCACCCGAAACTGTCGGTTCCCTTTAAAGGTCGTGTTTGTTCATCTCTGCTCTGTACTCTCCCTTCCTGTTGTCTCCATTCCTGAACTCAACTTGCTTTTATGTTTTTCATTAGATAGTTGACATATGACCATCTTATTAGTAATTGACTGGTGCAAAGTAGAAATTAATTTTCTTTTAAAAATAGGATTTCACAGAAAGGCAGGGTAGCAGATGTTTGTAATCCCCCCAGCCCTTGGGAAGCCGAGGTAGGAGGATTGACTCCAGTTTGAGGCCAGTCTGGACTACAGAATAAGACTGTGTTTCAAAAAGTAAAAGTAAAACAAAACAAACAAACAAGAAATGGGGTCTCACTGTGTTGCCCAGGCTGGCCTTGAACTCCAGGCTCAAGTGAGCCTCCTGTCTCAGCCTCCTCAGAAGCTGTGACTATAAGCTTGCACCACCTCTACGTGCTAGAATTTTACATGACAAAGCACCATAAAAAAGCAGAGAGACAAGACTAGAGAGATGGCTCAGTGGTTAAGAAAACTGGTTGTTCTTGCAGAAGACCCGGGTTCGAATCCCAGCACCCACATGGCAGCTAACAACTGTACGTAACTCCAGTCCCAGGGGATCCGACAGCCTCTTCTGACCTCTGTGGGCATTACATGACACAAATACACTTACCTACATGCAGGCAATAAACACATACACATAAAATAAAAATAATAAAATTTTTAAAAAACAGAGACATGAAATTTACATTTATAAACAAAGGAACTTTTCAGTAACTATCTAATTAAAATCTTCGTTCATTCTGTTGCATTCTGAATGGAGACTACCCACTAGGAGCCCTGATAACTGCCCTGCTCAAAATCTAATCGAAGTAGGACTCTACACATTTTGTAAAGGAAAATCAGGGCATCCCAACCTGGCCCAGTAGGAATGGAAATGAAAACTTCAGTCCATATCTTGGATGGCAAAAATCAGGCCAAACAGAGCCTCCCTTTTTTTGAGACGGGATCTTGCTATATATATAGTTCAAGCTGACCTTAAACCCACTGTATAGTGCAGGCTGGACTTGAACTCGCAGCAGTCCTCCTGGCTCAGCTTCCCAAATGCTAGAATTACAGGCATCAACTTCCTAGCCTTTTTCTTCCTAGAGGTGTATGTTGTGTCCCTTTTGAAAGCAACAGCCAGCTGGGCTTCTAAACATTGCTTCTTAGAGGTTCTTGGAAGTGATGGCTCCAGAGTCTTTTCCATCAGAAAGCACAGAAGGCAGTGTCTGCCCTTGGAGAAACCTAGATTAAAAAAAAATCACCATTTTACTTTTTTCTGTTATACATTTTCTTAATCCATTTGCCTAGAACACCAAAAAAGAATCTCAGAACATCTTAAATATTGTAGAACGTATCAGTTGTATCAGTAAACAAAACTTTTGCAACAATCTATTTGATTGTGATGAAAACATAATGTAAGCAAAATAATTAAAATCCACTACCTCTAGAGAATACAAATGTAACATTAAAAATGTCATTTTATATGATTCTTAGCCTTATGTTATGGTTTATTAGCAACATACACCATTTGAATATTTATGACATGGTTTTCAGGCAGTAAGAAACCCGTTCTGTTTTTCAGCTTCTCCGGTTGGCAACGGTTACATCAAGCCCCCGGTTCCACCAGCTTCGGGCACACACAGGGAAAAAGGGCCACCAACCATGTTACCCATCAATGTGGACCCAGACAGCAAACCAGGAGAATATGTCCTCAAGAGTTTATTTGTCAACTTCACCACTCAGGCTGAGCGCAAGATTCGCATCATCATGGCAGAGCCACTGGTGAGTGTGCACCACGGAAACAGCTTCTTTTAAAATTCATCTGTACACTGAATATGGCTGCCATTCCATGTCGGTTCCACTTCTGTGGACTCAGCTAAGCTTGGACTAAACACTGAAAAAATAATTGCATCTGCACTGAACATCAGTCTAAATAGTATGGCACTGTAACAACTATTCCCTTAGTATTTACACTGTACTAGGTATTATAAGAAATCTAAAGGTGATCCAATGTACACATAAGGATATACATAAATAACATGCAAATACTATGACCAAGGAACTTGAGCATGCAAAGGAGGTCCTGGAATGTATCTCCCAGTGATACAGAGAGGTGGCTGTGTAGTAGGTCAACCCTTAAAGATAAAGTGTTGCTCCCACAATGTCCTTAAACAGATAAACACAATCTAGCAATAAGTGTTCATCATAGGAAATTCTCTTCAGTCTCTGCTATGTGTATATGCTTTAAACATTAGTAAGGGAAAACATTCTGGGGCTCTGGAGATAGCTTAGCAGTTAAGAGTATGTACTGCTCTTGTAGAGGACCCAAGTTCCATTCCCAACACCCATGTAGCTCACAATCACCTGTAACTCCATCTCCAGGGGATCTAACACACTCATCTGGCCTCTGTGGGTACCCATTCTTATACATATTCATACCCACACACAGACACACATGTGTACATAATTTTAAAAAATAAAATATGAAACCTTTGTTGTTCAAGTGGTTCCTAAGGATGTCCACAGTGAGGACATTGGGGTCTTGGTACATTATTATCTGAGGACTTGTTTTGGTGAGTTGTTCAGAAACCACACTTGAACTTCTGAAAACCGAAAGAGGAAATTCTTGACTCACCAACCTGTAGGTCCCTTATTAGACAGATGATGCCTTTGCACATCACTATCTTTCTTTGCAGATACTTCTGCTGGAAAATAAGGCCGAGGTCAGCCTTATGTTAATTGCTTTAATGGGGCTCTGAGGAGCACTGTATCTCAAAAGGACAGTCAGGAAGGAAGTGCAATTGGTAGATTCAGATTACTTGTTTTCTGACCTTGCTGAGGCCACACACAATAAAAGAAAGGAAAGGAATTCAGGACAAAGATGTTCTTTCTATAAAGCTCAGTTTTATGCCTTTTGGGAGGACACAGGGAGCAGCAAGAAGTTGATCAGAGTTTGCTTTTAAGAACTGTGGCTTAAAATGATTGAGGGTATGGTTATTGAACCCACAATACATACCTCTGAAAATATATGAGTTGACGCACATCACATATGAAAAATGACCTTTATAAAGAATCACAACTTAAGGTTTGGGAATCAGACTTCAAGAGTATTTGTTGTATGTATACATGAAACACATATACAAACACATTGCATTTGGGGAGTTTTTATTAGCATAATGCATGCTATCTTTGTGTGTTCTATTCAGTTATTGAATGTTGCCAGAAAATATTTCTTGGTTTTATAATTTAAATCAAATGTTTGTCCTTAGTATGCCCTTTTGCCATTTACATGTGTTTTTGTTTCTAATTCTTTTTCTAATAATAGTTCATATTTGTGGCGTACTTATAGTATGCCAGCCCTTTGCCTAACTTATTATATTTACAATGGTCTAGGTCATTTCCCAATTACAAATGAGAAAAATTAACACAGAGTGTTAATTGTTCAAGGTCATGTAGTATTGATTCAAACCTATTTTGGGTAATATTAGAGCCCACCTCTGAACTACAGTAATGACACTCTCAGCCTTTGGTTCTCTTTGTGTAACGATATCTTCACTCACTTTTACCACAAATACAGGGCTGTCCTGCAATTGGATCAGCCACGTCAAGTACCTAAATTCCCATTGCCCAGTGCAGGTCCTTTGGAACTGGTGCCTGTTGAGATAATTAGGACTTCCTTTCCTGGTAAAGGGTTAGAAGCTGCCTTGGGGTCCAGAGAACATGGGGAGTTTAGGGAGGAGAATAATAAAGCACAATGAAAAATTCATCTTATTTTTCAACACAAGAGAAATACAGAGGTGTCAGGCTAAGGGATCAACTAGGAAGTTACAGAAAAGTTAAAAAGATCTAATTCCTGGAGGCTGGAGAGATGACTCAGTGGTTAAGAGCACTGACTGCTCTTGCAGAGAAGCCAGGTTCAGCTCCCAGTGCCTACATGGTGACTAACAACCATTCGTAACTCTAGTTCCAGGGTATCTGATGCCATGGTATTGCATGACATGAGTATACTTACATACATGCAGGTAATACACTCATACACATAAGATAAACTTAAAAAAAATACATCTAATTCCTTTTGACTCATCCATATCTCTAGGATAGTTTAAACAATGCTATTTAAGACTTATGAGGTGAACTAATTTGGATTTAATTTTTTTCGTCTTTTTTGGTAAATTTTTTATTGAATTTTTATGTATTTCATACAGAACATCTTAATCATCTTTATACTCCCCACCCCATTGGCACCCTCCAATAGCCTCACTCCCCTCCCCCAGTAGAATTCATACATCCTGTCATTTGTGTTAAGGCCTATTGTGTCAAGTCAGTGTCCCTAGACATCCCTTAGTGCAAGTTCATTCACTGAGGTCTAGTCACCCTATCTAGAGCTCCTCCCTTTAAGAAGATCAGCTCTTCCTTATGCAGCAGTAATCAGCTGCCAATAATTCTTCGACTAAGAGTGGGGCCTGCTGTCCATTTCCACAGTCCTATGCTGGGTTTTTGTCTGCTTGAGATTGCATGGTTCTTGTGCATGCTGATACCATTGCTGTAGTTCATATGAGCAAGGTCCAGGAGCCTGTAGGACTATTTCTGTATGGTCATGCACCTTCTCCCTGGCTCTTACAATCTTTCCACCCTCTCTTTCACAATGGTCCCTGAGCCCTGGATGGATGGAGTTTAATATAGGAGTCCTGACTAAGGACCCACACTCTACAGACTCTCGTTCTCTACACTTTGGCCATTTGTGACCTTTTGTGTTCCTAGCCCAATGTTGCATGAGGGAGCTTCATTGATGAGTACTGAGAGATGCATTAATGTTCTCTTTACACCTTGTTATATGTTCCCGTGAGCCTTAGGTATAGAGAGGTTCCATTGTAGATGTACCATTTAGGCTTGGACAATTTGAAAACAATCTTTGTGTATGACCAGTTATGGAATTCTGTAATAATCTCCATCTGTTTCAAAAGAAGTTTCTTTGATGAGTTGTGATGGGATACTTGTCTATAAATATAGAATCCATATTTTGCACATAAGAAATTACATTTTAAAAAAAAGAAATTACATTTGTCTAGGGATGTGACAGCCTTGGGGTTGTCTCTAAGATCTATGACCTCTCCAGCCATGTATTTTGGGCTATGTTTACAGTGCCACACATGAGTTTCCTCTTCCCATTAGGTAGCTGTTTTACTCCCAACATAAAAGTGCCACTACTGCACCAGTGTTGTTTGCTGTGAATTTTTTTTCATCTTTTACTCAGTTTGAAATTTGTTCCTGTGTTAAAATTTCTTCTTGTGATAAACAATAGGTCTACAGGGCTCACCTGTGTCAAAGGCTCCTGATTAAAAAGAAATACTGTATTCTTCTCTGTAACACAAACTTAAGTATCCCCAAACAAGAAAAGAAAATCAAGAGAAAATACATGTTCTATTAATCTAAAACACTTGAGATTTTGCTAAGATTTGCTAATGACCAAATATACAAACCTCAAATTTTTCCACTGAAGAAGTATATTCAATCAGTTTTTTTATATTACTGCCTTTTATAAAGACGACTATTTATTCCTTGTATTTTTTTGACAAAGATGTAAACTTCCACATTTTATCCATTTCTTATCTGATAAATACTCTTGATTACTTTTGCCCTTATATTTACTTGCCTAAAGAGCAGTAATTGTAAGTAGGCTCTGTTTCTAAAGGTGTATGTGTATATTTGGCATTTTGTCCTGTCACTATACAAAGGTATTTTGGTACTTTTATTTTGATTTGGTTTTTGCATGATGGGCATCCAACCTAGGGCCTTGTGCGTATTATAGCAAGTGCTCCCTCATAGAGCTGCATCTCCAGCCCCAAGGGTAATATTTCTTATGTATGTGGAATACATTTAGCAGGGTGCCTAGTGCGTGTCCTCTTCTATTTCTCTTGATAATTTAGAAAGCCGCATTTGGGAAAACATCACTTCCTTTGGAATAATATTGAATTTATGTGTGTTTGTATCAAATTACAACACTGTGCTCTCATCTTTAATATAACTAAGTCTTTGAGTAGTAAAGTTAATTTCCAAAATTTTAGAAGTATATATTCATCATTTGGGGAACTTATGGAAGAATCTATATTTAGGGGTTTTCTCTTTGAAGATTCAACTCTCAAAATTACACTTTTATCAGACTTGGGCCCAGGCTGCTTACTACTAACAAGACAGTATTCAGGAACTGAGAGCTGAAGGGGTGGGGGGGGGGGGACACGGACGGACGGACTCAGTTTTATTCAAGAACCAGCATCTTGAGATGGTAAAAGGGCCATCATCCTCGAAACTACATCTGGGGGAACTCAGGAGGGCCACCACAAGCTTTTATGGGGGACCCAGGAGTGCAAGGGACCATGGGCAATTTGGCTACATGCTTAGCAGGTTCTTCTAGAGAAAGGGCTGCCTTTTTATTTCCCTCTGTGATTGGAAAATCACAATTGGACTTGACCTCCTGAGGCTAGCTCCTATATTTTCTTCAAATAGACATACTACTTTTCTGCAAGCTAAATTTCATAGAAATATATATATTTCGTGTTAGTTGATACGCAGAACTTAAGAAAAGTCTTTACATATTCTGAATATATCTGAAGGTCACTAGATATGTTGGGGCCTGTGAATCCAAGGAATGTTTATTACCAGTTAAGATTTCTTTGTGTTGTGTGTGTGTGTGTGTGTGTGTGTGTGTGTGTGTGTGTATTTGTTGTTATTTTGAGACATGGTCTCTTGTAGCACAGACTAGCCTCAAACTGAGTTTGTAGCAG